TTAAAGCAACATTTCATTTGCAAATTCTTTTTGATCAATTTATATTGTGAAGTTTTATTTTTTAATATTGGACGTAAAATGAAATTTCAAAGATCCACTGAATATCTTTTATCTAAAGTCTATAATTTTATGATTAAAATCATGATAAACTATTGTTTTGCCCTTAATCGACCGAGATATTTTTTTATAAAACAAAAAATATTGAGAAGTATTGGAAGCAATAAATTCATTTAGATATTATTTAAAATTAAATTTGAATTTAAATAGTTTTAAATATAAATTTTCGATTCAGAACATTATGCATTGAAAGATATAGATAAAGATATGAAAAGTTATCAAAATCAGTCTGAAAAATCTTATATTTCTTTTATCATCGTTTACTTTTTTTTTTCATAATTTGTTTTACTTGTCTATGGAAAGTGAGAATGAGAAACTGGTATTGTGTAAGATTGAAACGGGACGTTGGGCTTCCTTGAAAGTTTTTCACCCGCTCCAAAGAAAAGAGATCAGCGGGTTCAAAGCCTTCGGGGGAGCGTTTTAGCCTAGTGAACATCTGCCGTCGCCTGCAACGATAATAATTCGAACAGCTGATACTCCTCGACGGACCACCGTCTTACCTTGTGGATCCTGTAGAATTGTAGGATCATTTCGGGTTAATACTTTCAAATGTTGTCGAAAGTGCAACAATGTTACATTGCCTTCGAATTCCATTGTATTTCAATTTCGAAATGCTAAAAATGCACGAAATAAGTAGCAAGCAACGATACAGAAGTTAATCGACAATGTCTTTATTTACTTTCTTTTTAATTATTACAGTAGGGTGAGTAATGATATCATAAATTTTAAACAGGAAAATTTGTCGTTCAGTTATGAATCTTAATAAAATAGTTGAAAGTATTAATCAACTTACCTTATTTAGAAGTTAGAAGAAATAGTTCGCTTCTTAGTTCATAAGAAATAAAATGGAAAATTGTCGATAAAGCGTATTGATAAGCGAATGCGAGGAATTTTTCATTTTGATAATAATCTTTCAAGCTTTTAAACCACGGTTAATCAGCATTTAAAATCCCTCCACGACGTAAAACGATGAAGGATTTGTCAACACGTCGTTACTAGTAAATTCTACATTCTGCATCTCATTCGTGTCTTATTCGGTCGTCGTTATGCTACGCCACTGGTGCTACAGTGTGGAGGGAGGTCGAGTGAACCAATGAAAAGAGAAATCGCCGAAGAATCCGGCGAACTGGCGCGCAGCATGGTAACCGTAAACTTAAAGGCAGTTTGGTACTCGCACGTGGGCCTTCGTTCGTGTCGGATGTGCGTGCGTACGAAAAATCGCCAATTGTAAAGGACACCGTCCGTTACTACGTACGTGTCATCAACAGTGTTTCGCGTTAATATCCATCGTTCATTAAAACGTGTCAGACCATCTGAAATTCCCTCCGATATCGTAGTAATGAATAAAAATTTCATTGTTAACGCCAACGGCTGTTGAACGTGTGTATTGCTGATTTTTAACATCGATCTTTGTCGTCAATTAATTATCTCACTAGTTAGAAGGATACGTTATTGGTGTGAATTTTTTTCTCTGGAGTTTCTCATTGGGATTAAAAGGCAACGTTTCAGTGATCATCGGGTGATAGTGCTTCGAAGAATTAGAGGTGTGTATTAAAAACTCGTCAAATATTTCGTTAACCATTCAATGTGTATTAAAACATATTCTATGTCCTATATAATATATAACGAAGGAGTCGTTAAATACGCATTATGCTGCGTATTATTCTTTTACAAATGCATACTATGACGTAATCGTTTGCTCCTCATTGTTAATGTGTATTCGAACCAAAATAAGTTTTTCCCAAATATTACGAAAGCTTTTCTTACATGTACAGTGTTTAATGAATTTAGATCGATGCTGCGAAATGAATACAAAATGAATTTTTATATTGTAACATCAGTTTGACAAAGTAGGTGAAACATATCAAGAGATTATGAAATATCTATAGAAAATACGGTTTACCTGATGATCAAATATTTCGACGAGGCCATCTTGCGTGTTCGTAAAACGATCTGCTTATTCTCTTTGGTTGCTCCTCTTTCACCCCCATTGCAGCGGTCTCGTCGCGACAAAGGGGTACACGACGACGGGCACGTGTACCACAACGTTTATTAATAAACCTCGACGTCGGCTCGACGATTTCTCTTTAGCAGAAGGCCTGGAAACGTGTGCAGGTGATTACAGCCGTCTGGCGTAAATGAACGGGGAACCTTCATTTTTTTTTTCATTGCTTTTTTCTCACAATCCATACGTGAATACATACGTGCTACTTTAGGATGTAGAATATTTTTTACTAAGAACAGGAAATATATAGGTACTTTTTATTGTAATTTTTAAATAATAAAAAAAATGACGTGTATATTTTTATGAAATTTTTGAATAGAAATTATACTATTTAAACAAAGTAAATGCTAATATTACAATTAAAATGATAATCACATAAGCTCACTAATTAGACTGTTGTTGTATTTTCATATGTGTACACAT